AAGTTTCGAGAAGGAAATGGCGTGATACGAGCGTCACGTGACCTGCGTTGTCGTAACAATACTATATTTAGATTTCTTTTCAAATCATGAAATAATTAATGTGAAAATTGCTACTGTTATATTATTTATAAAAACTAACATTTTTGTGACGATATTTAATAAATCGGCACACACCAATTAATGAAGTTGTTATGAATGGATAATATTATCTTGGCTCAAGTCTGGGAATGTCATGGTAGTGTAATTCTGTAACTTTTTCCAGCTTAGAAAATGTCTTTCTCAAATTTATTGACGATATTCCGACTTCATAGTTGTGTTTAAATAAGTGATGTAGTTTGTATATTTATTTGTTATCGATTGTAATCTGGGGTTCGATTCTCCACAGCGGACAGCCCAATGTGGCCTTTCTCTATAAAACACTTCTGTGCTTGGTGTTTGAATTCTGGAATGCACAATTTCTCTATTTGTATGTGAAGATACGTCATAATTTATTATATTCTTGTAAGTTATTCTTTGATCTGTAGTGTTAGTCTTTGTGTGTGCGTATATGTGTGTTTTTCTTAAAGGTTGTGTGGAATTGTTATTATTATATTCTGGATCGTGACATCTAAGAAAAAAATGTAATTCAAATTCATGTTTTTCGTGCGTGTTGAAGCCAAATAGTGAAAATTTCAAGTAATTATTTGAAATTCGGATACGGAGTTTGTCAGTAGAACGATATCAGGACGGCGTTAAAAACTGAACCGAAAGCGGAATATTTTGGTAGCTGTAACATAGTTCCGGCAATTTTTGGAGCCTATTATATATATATCTATATATTCGTGGGATATCTGCGTTAGTCGTCCTTAATTTGAAAGTGATAGACCAGAAGAAAGGCAGCTAGTCAACATCACTAACTGACAACTCGTGAGCTACTTTGATCGAATAAAGGGATTTGACCGTCACTTTTATAATGCACCCAAAGCTCCAAAGAGCGGAGTGTGATTTTTTTTTCACAGTAACGGGTTGCGAACCAGGGAACTTCAGAACCAGTGGGCAATAAGAAGGCGAAGCGTGTTCTGCGATATATGATACTTCAAACATCCTTGGACTTTCTAATCGCAGCTTTGCACTGTAACGCACAGAGAAAGTCATCTGTTCGAGAGGAAAAAACTTGCTAAAAACAATTAAATGTGCATTTATTGAAGGTTTATATTTTTCAGTTACTCAATGTGATTAAAAAATTACTTATTAAGCTTCACACAATCCGCAGAAGCATATATGATATTAAAATATTTTCACGTGTGTGTTTGTTAATGGTATAAAAGTAAATTTGTTTCGATGTAATAGGTAATGAAATTTAACTATTTATGAGTTAATCGGTTGAAATGGCTCAGTGTTCATGTATACATGCTCGTGGGAGAGGATAATTCAAAGAGATTCGTATATATATATATATATAAGTTCTTGATTTAATTTTTATTGAGCGTATGTAATTATGGTAAAAAAGTTACATTTCCTCAGGGCGAACAAACCACAACTTAATAATAGTGACAAATAAGTTGGATATTTCATATATGTTTTAATTTCTCATACACTAAACCCACTCATACACAAAATATAACTTAACCTACTATTCACAATCACTACTCGGTTTATTGAATGATTCAGTTAATGTGCTTTCTCTTAACTAAATTAAGATTATCCACGTATATGTAATTACAATTTTTTAACTCTACTTTTCGATTTCTGCGTTTAAGCTGTTAGTTATATTTGATAATTCACTCTCTTATTGTTTTAATATTTCCCAACATGTCGATTCTATGGCATTAACTGTTAAGCTAAGATTAAATCCAAGAGCAGAGAAGGCTAGTTAACCCTAACTTTTTTGTTATTTAAAAATGGCTGCAACATTACATCGTGGATTAGGCCTACGATTTAAATTCGTAAATATTAATTTCGAAAAACTAATATTTTCTTCATCTGGCAATAAAGCGACATACACCAGGTAATGCAAATTTAGCTGTAATTGTAAAACTAATGTGTTATGAGTATGTAGCTGTAATTTGTAAAATGAAATTGAAAGGTATACAGACTGTCTTGCAAGTCACACTGTTACTGTTAGTTACATTTACAAGTTACACCATTATTTTAAAATTAGTTTGTTCCCGTTTCTTCGACTTCCGTATGGTCTACTCTAATGTAATCATATACCAAAATAAATGTTGCATATATTTTCTGTAAACTTGGCATGTCACTTTATTGTAAATGAAAAAATCTGACAACGTAATGATTGTATTTTTTTAGGTTTATTCCCATTTAGTCTATTGTCATTGGGAGTAGATGAATTGGGATGTTACCATAAAATTTCTGTTTCAATTTCATTTTCAATCAAGTTTCACTTAATTCTTTAGTTTAACTTGAGTTTAAGAAGTTAAGTTTTTCTCAGACAGAAGCTTTCTCAGTTTCTGTCTTATAAGGGATGTATTGTAATGACTTGTAAGTTTAGTTGTTAAATTGTATGATTTTAAACTTGAGTGTCTGTTTACTGTTTAGTTTAATTTTTAAATGGAAATGTGAAGGTTTTTAATATATATACTTACAGTGCTCAAAGTGGAGAGTAACATGGGGGGGGGTACGTGTATTCCCACTTCTCTAATTTTGCATTTACTGTACCCCCACTTCTTGAACATCTTGATTAAGATGAACAATGAAAAATGCTATCATCATTTTATGTGCAAGTGTACCCCCACTTCTGAATTTTGAATTGTATGTATATATCAAGTAATTCGTGTTATGTTATCCTTTTTTGCTGTGCTGATATGGTTCAACTGGAATTATTGCATATTTAGATATAAAGATAGCATACATGTGTTTGTGCAATTTTGTCTGCACGGTCTATTTTATTAAACCTAATTTCACAAAACTCCATCTTCTGTCACTTTAGTGCTAGTCACATTGGAAAAAAACAACAATGAAACTAGTAATTCACTAGTGTGACCTTGATGAGTATGATTAATTAGCTGATGAAATTTCTAGGAAGTATAGCATTTTAGATTTAGTATTTTATAAAATTTTAGGTTATCTCTATTTTTGGTGATAAATACATTTTCTAATAATAAAATGAAAAGAAAAGTATTTGTAAAATTAAAATGAAACACCGCTAACAGAATAATGTTTTTACTTACTATTTTAAACTGTGGGAATCCCATTATAAGATCTATGAGAATAATGTTTAATAAACTACTGGTAAAAAAAGATTATTAATAAATTATTGTAGTGTGTTTTATTTTTGTTGTGGATTCAGCTAGCTTTTTTTTTTTATTATAATGAGACATAGTACATATTGATAGGGTGTTGAGCCTGAGGTAAATGATAAAGAGTATAACTACTTGAATCATTGTTTTTAATACAACTTTATTAGTTATCTGATTTGTTAGCTGTGTTTTTACTAATTCCATCTTTGTCTTTTTTTTATAATCTTAAACCCATATTATATTCAAGATCTGTTTAATGTGGGACCAGTTTATTTAACATTACAGTGCAATTAGATACATCTTTGAGTTTATTATAATGAGAGTTTACATTAATTTCTAATATTCAATAAAATAGGAAAACTATATGAAAAAATAATCTCAATTGAATGTTGTTTTTAAAAAAATTGCATCAGGTCAGTATAACTGGAAATATAACAGACCTACCTCAATTCTGAGCATAATAGGAGGGTTGAAAAAAGTTAATCAAATTATTAAATTTTATGTAATTTGGTTGTTACATTTACTGTGGTCATTGGTGCTTTATTGGGGTAGACATATTACTAATTATCTTTTGAGTTTTTTCATTGCACCATACAATAAAAAACTTGTTCAATTGTAATATATAGAATGATAACATAACATCCTTTAAGGTATTGACAAAGGATTACATTAAAATATTTGGTGTACAGGATCTGTGTTTAAAATTTTCTGCATGATAGTTAAAGAAATGTAAGATAAATTAAAAAGGCCAACATTTGCATGTGAATGCAACATTTCTCTGCCACGCAATCCCAACATGACCAACTTTCACACCATAAGAATTGTGAAAATCACAGAAAAATTTACAACTGTATATATCTCTGTTTGGGACCTGTAAAAAAGTATTTTTGTATCAAATCTCATGTCAGTTTGCTGAAATATGGCAGAGTAATTGTCAAAAAATCCTAAAATTATGCTTTTTGTGGCATCTTGACCCACCCCTATAATTACTAAAAATGGGCAAATCGAACATTTCTATTTCTAAATCTGTGTTGCCTGTAGAAAAGTATCTTTATACCAAATCCCATGTAACTTGGTCAAAATAAGACCAAGTAATTGACCAAAAACCAAAAAATTATGCTCTTTTTTTTTCATGAGCTCTGATCCCCTTAAGAAGACACAAAATGGATGAATCGAACTTTTTTTTTATATGTAAATATATTGGATGCATGAAAATTTAAATTTGTGCCAGTTGTCACACTGATTGCTGTAAAATATGATTGAACAGGAGCCCGAAATATAAATTTTTGGGTTGTTTAACATTTGACCCCATAAAATCCTTTAAAAAGGTTTAAATCAAAAATATAAAAACATAATGTCTGGTTATTCTGGACCAGGGTATAGCCCTTCCAAGTTACAAGTCAATCTGTCAATGAAATCATGAAATGGCAGTTGATTGAAAAATGCTTGGAAGAAGAAAATTGAAAAACAGTTCTCTCTGTGGAGGTATAAAAATTATAAATCCTTAATGCCTCTCACAGGTGGACTTGTGTAAATCTTTAGGGTTTTTATTTTTTATGTATTTCAAATTAATGGTGTTTTTTAACAGAATAATTTATTATTGTTTGTTTTATTCAGAGGACTAATATATTCAGTGTGCTTTGTGTAGGTTAGCTGAGGTGGGAAGACTTGGAATTCCAAAAATTGAAGGAAAATATGACACTGGACAGGTAAGGTTATATGAATATTTTTTGTCAAGTTTTGAGAGAAAAGGAGAAATCGTGCACTGTACTATTCGTTTCTGACCTTAATGGTGAACAATATAATCACAGAAGTTACAAATAACAGCATATTCAATGAATGTCTCAGAATATACACCTTCCATATTCAGCAAGTTCTTACAGTAAATACAAAACTATAACTACAAACTAGAACCTGAAAGTTGAATAGAAATATGTGTACTATGATAAGCATTTCTAAGAGCAATGTTGAGACTCAAAGGGGAGGGAGATTGTAGAATTTAGTAAATGAACTTAAATATAGACCCCCCACTAAATAAATAATTAAATTTAACTATATATAGTTCATGAGAAATAATTAAAACAAGCTTAACTTGACAGAAGTTGAGGTGTTATTTTAGTATGGGAGATTTTATTTAATAAGTAGACACACTTTAATCAGAAGTTCCTAATATGTGCAGCCCATAGTTAAAACTATAAAGTCTATTGAAGAAATTTTGTGTTCAATAGTTTGTTTGTGTGGATAGCAGAGGTGCAGGGATATGATAGAGAGTGACCATTTATACAGGAAATCCCCATGTGTTACATGGTATGTGATTTTGTCAATATAGGTAACTTTGCAGCTACCACATGTATATAAGTAAATGATCTATGAACAAAATGGGATCAAAAATTTATTCTCTTGAATGGAAAGTTTTTTTTTATCTAATGTGTTAATTTAAATACAATTATCAATTGAATTTGTGTGTAATAACTTATGTAACACTTTAGTGAGTTGATTTTTAAGAATTTGTAAGGAAGACATAAATATCCAGAGCATTTCGGTACAGTCATCCATTTAGTATTACTAAGGGGATTGTATTTTTCACTCATATTATCATCATTAGACTATATTTTTTCCATCTCAGGAATTTACTTATCTTAACTAACAATACATTCTGTAAACAACTTAGTATTTGTAGACATATATGATACTTGTAAAGGGCTTGGATGATCAGCCTTTTGGTGGTTTGTTTGAACAGGAGAATAATGAGGTTGGAGAGAGAACCTAAATATTAAGAGTAAGTTCAAGGTTTGAAACTTTAGATCCAAACTTGCTGCTTCTCAAATTTTGTAAGAAACTTGTTAACTGATATGCATAATGATGTGCAGTTAGTTTAAATTGTTTTGAAACATTTATTGAACATGCATATAAATATGAAGGGGTACATTTGGGTTTGATTAATTATTTTTTTTGTGACTAGAGATTCCCTTAATGGATATTCTGTTATCTTGAGCTTTTTTGAGTTCATGTATCAGTTAATGAAATAATCATATAATATGTATTTAACTCCTTTGCATCGGTTAGGTCAGAGTGCACATTTCACAACCTTTTATAGAGTTACATTCAAAATTTAATTAAACTACTTTATTATCAATGTATACAAATAAATTTGGCATGAAAATGTAGCTAATAAATCAAATTTTAATATTGTATAAAACTTTAGTTCTTAATTTTATAATGAAACATGAAAAACAATCCTCAGTCTCCCATAATATGAAAATTGTGACATTTGCTCTCTTTGTCTTCCTTCTTCTCTAATTTACTTACCACTCTTTCAAGAAGTATGAAATTTATCAAACATTATTTATTATAATGTTTTCATCACTCAGGCAAAACATAATTTTTATAGCTTTCAATCTTATTTGGTTACAGATCCTCAAACTAGAAGATCACTCTACACCCATCTGTCACATCCTCTGTTTCACAAATTGCAAACAGATCTCTCTGACATTTAGTACTATATTATTTATAACCATGAGAAAGCCAAAGTTTCAATCTATCAAATGATATATTATATTACTTTGTTTTCTGTACAGACAACTATTTATTTTGTTTCCAGTTAAAACTTTATTCCCACTGTAAACACATTGAAGGAGCTTAGCTGAATTTTTAATGGCTCTTATCACATAGTTAGATAGCTATTAAAATTATGATAGTTATAGGATATTGTCTGCTTTTTATATGTTATTGATCTGTGTTCTTAGGTGCAGTATTTAATTAAATAAAGAGTTTAGTGTTATAGTCCCATTAGTATAAAAAAGTAGGTTTAAGTTTCATTGACAGTCAACAGCAAAGAAAAAGAAAACCCAGGTATATACTACATTTCTTGTTTTTCATGTGTATTCTTTATTTACTATTATAAAAGTAACTAAAATGTAATAATTAAGAACTTGTTAGGTTAGATTATGTAAGATAAAGGATAATAATAATAAAAATTATTTACGAGGTATGCTCATGAGTAACTTGTGCAGTACGTAATTTGATAGGATAATGTGAGATACACATTTGCCAAATGACTTTCAATTTATGTGGCAGAATTATGGTTGAAAAGGCAATAATACAATAACATTAAGAAAAAATGTTTTAAGCTATTTAGGATAAACAATTCTGGTTCTAAGTTACAATTTGCAGTCATTTTAAAAAGAAAAAAGTTAATTTAAAATTATTTTCTAATTATTTGATGATGGTTATGAATTCGTTCAAATTGACAGACCCTGTATAGAGTTATATTATAGAACATAACAGATAAAATATGAAGTTTTCTGAAAAACAAACATTGGATATTTAATTAGAAGGTCTTAGGCCCTAGATTATGCACATAAAGTTTTAAAATTTTTAGATAAAGAAAAGTATTTTTAATCTTAACATGAAAATCATTTGCCCTCTGAGCAGTGAACACTATAACATCATATAATTATCGACAAAGTTTTAGCAAAAGTACATTATTAAAAATTCTGATTTTTTTGTCTATAGATGACTAAAAGCTTGCCAAATTTCTTAAAAGTACATTAAGTACTTTACTAATCATAGTATGTATGCCACCATGTAACCATGGTGGTTACAAAGTCATGTAAAATACACAAGCCTGTTGTGATGTGGTTAATGGGTTTTTCACATATTTTAAAATTTCACTTGAAGTTTTTAGTATTGTAAATATATATATTATTGTCTCTTGTCACATAAATCCTTTTAGTCACTGTGACTAATGCACATTTCATTGAATTAGCCACACCACTTAAAGTATTAAACTTATGTTAGTGTTTATATTGAAGCTGTTCAATGTAAATGTATTATATTTGAGGTACTGTAGTAGTATAATAAAGTTGTGAATGTAGAATGATAACTTTGAGGCATCTGTTATCAAAGCATCCACACCATCAACATTTATACTACATAATATATATTGTTTTGACTTTCGTTTTTCTGAAGCCTGAGATGTCATCATTACGGAACTTGGATTTGACCTAAGTAAGGCTATCTCTGATTGGGTAAAATTACACCCTCGGTGTCTCAAGAAAAAGTTCCAGCGTAAAAAAACAGATAACCTTAGACGTGCAGGATGCCTATTCTGCACTGGCAATGCAGTATAGACATACGGTAAAGGCAAATGGGAAATTAGACCACAAAAATATTAAAATGTGTTGACAATTCATTGGGTAGTCTTCATATTATATATTTATTTGTGTGGGTGAATTTCTATTCTAAATGAAGATGACAAACAACTTCAGATAAAAGTTAATCTATTCAACCTGGCATTTTGGCTTACACCTTTTTCAATGGTTAATGAATGTCATGGGTACCCAACTGATTTTAAATTAGAGTAACCGAAAAGAAAATGTAACTAGAACAACATAAGGGAAGAGTACACGTGAAGAGTGCTAAAAGCATTGTTAAATAGGTTAGAGTCACTGATAATAATTGTAAAAGTTAAAAAAAATTATGAAGAAAATCAACAACAACTTATTATATGGGCCGGGCATTGTACCTGTTAATGGAAGGGTGTCTGGATTGATTCAAAAGAGATTCCTTAAATTTTTTGTCAATAAAATTGTCAGAAGTCTAAAATTTTCATTCGATAAAGTGTCTTAAGAAACAAATATACTTAAAACCATGAAGGCATACAATCTGGGAACCCTACAACCATCTGGTTTAAATTAATGCTTTCCTTTCCTTTAGATTTCGATTTTTACATTTTTTTTGTTTAAGTTTTAATTGCTATCTGTTTTATCTTTTCATGATTTGTAATTTTTATGTAATAGATGTAATTTTGCTTAGAATGTTCATGCTTAACATTCAAAATACTACACATGCAAGTTCTTTGAATTCTGTGCATTTGTTGTAAACTGTATGATCTGACGAAGAGTACTAGCTCGAAATGTCATCCTTCTTTTAATAAAAAATATATATAAACAATTGGCGATTGTTCAACCTGTTATTTAATTTAGTTTCATTGATTGTGCTGTGTGTTTTGATGTGATGTTCAGTGGTGGCTTCTTTGTTGTCAAGATTACTTTAAAAAGTAATAATGAATTTCAATTCACTTTTATGGCAAATTAAAGGTGATTTAGATTTGCTACATTGAGTTTAGCTTCTCATTTGCGAGTGTGGCAATCGACTATCATGAGCAGAGATTATGTATATTTTCTATAACCTTTTGTTACTATATTCCATGCAGCTTTTTTTACATCGGGTTTTTGGGTATCGAGGAGTGACACTGTTTCCCTGGCTGGCAAGAGTATATGACAGGGATGTGCCCAATAAGAAAGAAGACAGGTATGAATATGTATGTTATTCTACAGTTTTGTGTAAAAGATTTAAGAAAGTACCAATTGAATGATACTTGTATAGGGAAGCACATTATGTTAATACAGTAGTAAGTTATCAAATAAACTTTGTATCAACATTACCTTGACTGTCTTCTTCAGGTATGACACAAAACTAAGTATACAAGGTTTATATACAAAGATAATGAGACATGGGAATATAATATGTATTATTGTGGTTGCAAAAGATTGAGACAAATTGAATAACTATAAGATAGTGATCCTATTTGTTTATTCTCATTCTATCTTAGTTTTTTAAGGTTATAACATTTTCCTTATTTTTAAACCACTCTTAAGTCTTGTATTCTTTTATGTCTCAAATTAATAATTTTCAGTTGGAAAACAAGCTTCTTACTATCACCCCACTAACCTTATTTTATGGTCAAATTGTCTTCTCTCTAAATATCACTGAGTTTGTTAGAATAAACACCTTAAGTGCAGTTTGTAATTTAGCTTTTATCATTCTTGTCTTCAGTGTTTTATTGAAGATCTCTAGTAGAATTGATGGCTAGATATTTGAAATCTTGATATTGAACAATGATTTTTGATTATTCCTTTGATCAGTATGTGGAAAGTCACTTTCTATAACAGTTACCAGAATTAACTACCGTATTTTTCGGTGTCTGAGACACACTTTTTAACCCAAAATTTGATGTCAAATCTGCTTGCGTCCTATACACTGTAGGTATGAATAATAAATATGTATATATATGATATACACAAGCTATG